AATCAATAATTATCTCGCCACCTTCTAAGTTCTTAAAGCTGGGTTAATAATCAAATTAACAGAGACAGATTAATAGGAGGAAAGCAAATTTTTAATACATGCACATGGTGAATTCATATAGGATGAAAATTGCAGGAAAGCACGTTCGAAAGAGACTATATGATCAATTGCTATTCTTGTTATATTTAAACAAATAATTAGGCCAAATTCATTGAAACTAGACTTATGTAGTAAATATATTAGTCTTAATTTGACTATCTTTGAGAAAAATGAAGGTGATTTTAGAGAGGAAAATTAGATTTCAATAGAAATTATAATGCACAGTTGTAGATATTAGATTCTAGTTCAGTTGTCTTTAAAGTTTTATTTTTCACCTGTAAACTGGACTGGATCCTGAATTTTTCTTGTTTTCTTAAATATTTGACTTTTTTTTTTCTGAGCCTTGTAGTTATGAGCTATAGCTAGATGACATGCTACAGACTTCAGAGAAATCACCCCAATGGCTCATGCTTAAACAATCTCAGTGACTAATGAAGTGTAGCCCTGAACAGAGTTTACCTGAACATCTGATGGTATCATCGGAGACATTCAAACTATAGAGTTGGAGAAGTTATCAAATTGTCACTGCCTGTTCATATTCTCAACCAACCAAAAGGAAACCAAAGTTTTGCTACCCCGAAGCTGCCTTTTTGGAATATTTATTTTAACCTGGTTATTAAGAAACAAAAGATTCAGAAAGAACCTTTGACCCTCCCCCCCTTTCCTGCCCAGGAGATTCAGATAGAAAAACCTGCTTTATGAAAGAAATTATAGGATGTTCCCCTTAGATTGAATAGCCTGATTTGAATTAAGTATGGTAAATAGGGCTTCAGGCAAGGGCCTGTTAGCTAGATACCCCTTGTGTCCTATTGTTTCCGAGTTACCTAGCAAGAATTTGCCTGCAATGTGTGTTCTGCTTTTCCTCAACTATCTGTAAATTGCCTATTCTCACTTCTGAAATCTAAGACTCCTGTTCCCTTTCTTTTCTCTTTTGTTTAAAATGTCATTTAACTCAATGTTGCTTCACTGTCTTTGGAATTTTCACGCTTATGTGAATTCCCCATGCACACGTATTAAAATTTTATTTTCTCCTGTTAATATGTCTTTGTTAATGTGATTATTTGTCCAGCTAGAAGAACTTAGAAGGTGGGAGGAAAAGTATTAATTTTTTTAGCTCCCACAGTACTTATTAAATGTAGTGTATATTACAGATGATCAGAGTTTAGGAGATTATTGAAAGAAGTTTTGAAGCAGCATTACAAATGTCAGTTTAAGGACTGAGCCATGACAAGGTTTTCACTGCTCTTAGGAAGAATTAATTGTTCATTTTCTGAAATTAAGTTTGTCACCTTTTCTTAATGTTAAAATATCCTTTTATGAAATGATGGTTATATAATATTATAGTTGTTTTCTTTCTCTAGATATCTTTACTTGGACCAATGAAAATCTGGTATGCTTTGTTGGGCCCCATATATGTTGAAATTTCACTGGTGTGTGAAACTCCAAACTGTACCAAATTTATTTGACATGGATTTATTTCAAGAAGGAAGCTGTTGCAAGTAAAAGGAAGTATTATCTCCAACAATACTGTAGTTTAAAGAACAGTGGATTTATTTCTCTCTTTCGTAATAGATCTGAGGTGAGTGGGCTACGTCACAGCACAGTTCAGCTTAATATAGTCATTCAGAAACTTAAGTTCCTTCCATCATGTTATTCTAACATACTCTAGAGCCTTGACCTTGTATTATTAGAGTGTGTAGTGTTGGGTTTTGCCTGGCATAAACAGAAGAGCTAGTATCTTAAGGCCTAAACCAGGAAGTAGCAAATGCCACTTTGGCTCTAATTCCATCAGTGAGAATACAGCCAAACTCAGTTTCTGGGAAATGTAATATTGACATATGTCTAGAAAGAAGAGAAAAAAGTATTTTGGTGGAAAATTAACAGTCTGGGCCACATACCCATTAAAAGACAGTTGTTTGCATAATTAGTTTGTGTGGCCATTCTACACTGACCTCAGATGTTGTGATGTTGCTAGTTTTGGAATATGTTTAGACTCCAGCACTTTTTTTTTTTAATTAAGTTTATTGGGAAACATTGGTTAATACAATTATATAATTTTCAGGAATACATTATAATTTCACGTCTGTACACTCTATTGTGTGTTTACCATCCAAAGTCCAGTTTTCTTCGGCTACATTATATTTGATCCCCTTTGCGCACTTCACCCTCTCACTACTTTCCTGTATTTAACTCCATTTAACCACCTACCTACCCCCTCCTCCCTCACCCCTTACCCTCTGGTAACCACTAGTCCATAGTCCATGTCCATGAGTCTCTGTTTGTCCTGTTCTTTGGTGCTTTTTGGTTTATATTCCACATATAAGTGATATCATGTGATTTTCAACTTTTTCTGTCTCGATTATTTCGCTTAGTATGATTATTTCAAGGTCTATCCATGTTGTTGCAAATGGCAGATTTCATCTCTTCTTATGGCTGAGTAATATTCCATTGTACATATGTACCATGGCTTCTTTAGCCAGTCGTCTATCATAGGACACTTTAGTTGTTTCCATGTCCTGGCCTCTGTGAATAATTCTGCTATGAACATCGATGTACAGATATCTTTACGGATGTGAGTTTTAAGTCTTTGGGGTAAATACCCAGTAGAAGATTGCTGCATCATATGGTAGATCAATTCTTAGTCTTTTGAGGAACCTCCATATTGTTTTCCATAGTGGCTGTACCAATTTGCAGTCCCACCAGCAGTGTATGAGGGTTCCTTTTTCTCTGCATCCTCTCCAATATTTGTTATTACTTGTCCTGTTGATTATAGCTATTCTAACAGGTGTGAGATGATATCTCATTGTAGTTTGGATTTGCATTTCCCTAATAGCAATGTTGAGCATGTTTTCATGTATATGTTGGCCATTTGTATGTCCCCTACGGAGAAGTGTCTGTTCAGGTCCTCTGCCCATTTGTTGATCGGATCATTTGGTTTTTTTGTTGTTATTGAGTTGTATGAGTCCAGAGGGTTTTTTGTTTTTTTTTACTTCCCACCTGACCCAGAGGGTTTTAAGGCCCTAAGGGATTATGAAAGAAACCTAGTTCCCTGAATCTTTGTGTAGAGAAAAGCCTCCACTGACCAGGGATATCCACATTGGAATGTGATATAAGTGAGAAATCACATTTCTCCTTTCTTCCAACTCCTGGCAACCACTATTCTATGCTGTTTCTATGAATTTGATTATTCTAGGTACCTAATATAAAATTATACAAATTTGTTTTTTTTGTGTCTGGCTTTTTTTCACTTAGGCTAGTGTTTCAAGGTTCATCCATGTTGTAGCAAGGGTCAGAATTTCCTTCGTTTTTAAGGCTGAATATAATTCTGTTGTATGTATATATGACACTTTCTTCATCTGTTTATGGATACTTAAGTTGCTTCCACCTTTTGGCTATTGTAAATAATGCTGCTGCGAACATTGCTGTATAGATATCTGTTCAAGTTCCTGCTTTCAGTTTGAGTATATTCCCAGAGGTAGAATTGCTAGATTACATGATAATTTTGTGTTTAATTTTTCGAGAAACCACCATACTGTTTTCCACTGTGGCTGCATTATTTTACATTCCTATCAGCCATACACAAGGGTTCCTTGCCAACACGTTATTTTCTGAATTTTTGATAACCACCATGCTATAGGATGTGAAGTAGTATCTCATTCTTATTTTAATTTTAATTTCCCTACTGTTTAGTGATGTTGAACATTTTTTCCATCTGTTTATGGCCATGGAGAAATGTCTATTGAAGTTCTTGGCCCATTAAAAAAATATTTTTTTAGTAGTTGAACGATGCTCATGGGGATGAGGAGTATGGCATAGGAATGTAGTTAGTAATATTACACTGGCTATGTGCAGAGGCAGATAGGTGATAGAGTAATTGGGGGGATCATTTCATAAACTATATAAATGTCTAACCAATATACTGTATACTTGAAACTAATAATAAAATAAATATTTTTGTTATTGAGTTGTAGCAGTTCTTTATATATTTTGGATATTAATCCTTTAACAGATCTATCATTTGCAAATATTTTCTCCTACCTTCTAAATAAAGGTTATTAAGATATCCAATAATAGAATTATCCTTCCTCACAGCAGCCAGTGTAGAGAACAGCCCCTCTTAAACCTCTCCCAAATCACTTAACACAAGGTTGAATACTATAATAAATTCTAACACCTTAATTTAACATCCCCTGCGGTGTGCTCTGCTTCATCCTAAGCAGTCAGTAATCCCAATTTTGTATTGTGTTCTTAGTGGTCTTTAATTGAAGGGCATTGACACAGGTCATGCTCAGTTTCATCTCTATAGTAAGAAATAAAATTCCACGTGTCTTTTCCATGTTCATGGTTTCAAATTTCATTTTTCTAAACATTAATTTTTGTATATTATAAAAATGTCAGCCTTCCGCGGACTGGGATAAAACGCCAGATAGTTGAGAAACAATGACCTAAAAACGACCTACAACTTCAACAGTTAAAGTGTGCCACGCCAGCGTCCCTCTCAATGGGGAACTACAATGTCCAGAATTCCCCCCAAATGCGTAAGCGACCGTCCATTCCACCCACTTCGCCGCGACGTCCTCTGGGGCATGTAGTGCGTGTCTTCCGCAATGCACGCTGCTCTCGACGGGCACTTTTTCCTGGTTTGGTGAAGAGTTCCACTAGAGGGAAGGTGATGTCTCTTGAGGAAAGGCTAAAAACTCTAAGATATTGGGGAGGGGCGAGTGACGTAGCCCACCCTGTTGAGACCTTTGTTGGGGATCAGGAATAGCTTTGACTTCTGAGCCATCGTTACTGGCCTTCGCTGGGATCCTCCTGAAAAGTTGCAGGGCATTGAGGGGATAACTTGGCCGCAAGTCAGGGCCGGGTAGCGGCGGCAGAATTTTTTTTTTTTTCCTACCTAGAACTGGATACCGGTTCGTTTGAGAAACCGAGGCCTTTCGGGTTTTGGATTTTTCCGGAGCGCGGAGGACCAGGGCTGGGTTGAGCCTACTCCTGGCCGTGACCTGGGAGACCGTATTTACTTGTTCAATGCTGCTGTGTACCGGGCGCGGAGGATGCCTGTCATTTGCAAAAGGTGTCTCTATTTACTCTGCATTATACCTGTTCACAGCTGGTATCTATCTCTCATTTATGGTCTCCAAACCCTTTCTTTGGTTAAATGTGTTCCCTAAGGTCAGCTGGGGCAGAGCTGGGGACATGACACCTTGGTATTCTAACCATTGAGTTGCTTCCATTTTCAATTGTGAGTAGACAGGAGAATCTTGAAGATAACTGCTTTGTGCAGGGTTTTCTGTGTATGCGTATGACCCAGGTCGCCTTGGGTTAGGTTGCTGTACTGATTGCCACGAAATAAGCAATACTGCCTCATCGATTTTTTCCTGTGAGCTTGGCATAGCCATAGACAGGAGTTTAAGGCATATTTTTAGTGTTGATTTCTTCATGTAATGAGGTTGTTCAAATTGAAAGAGTCGAAATAACTGTGTGGTTGACCCAGCCTCACTAGTACTAGAGTAGTTTTTAAATCTTTTTGAACCTAGCTTTTCCTATCTGTAAAATGCAAACGATAATATCAACCTGGCAGGTTAGTTCAGAGAATCAAATGGGATAATATATTTTTAAAGTCCTGGGTAAAATGTTGCAGAAGTGTTGGATGGTGTGATTTTAGTCCCAACTTTTTAAACCATTGTTTCTCAACTAGAAATATAAATATATTTTAAATACCAACTATTTTTCATAATTATCTTTGATCCATATATTGTTTCACCGAGTCTTGTTACGTTAGTTGATTTTATTATATTTTCTGATTGGACCTCTAATCTTGGCGTTTATTGGTTAAAACCTATCTAAGGTTGGTAGTGACTAAATTATATGAGTTATTTTGGGGTACCATTTTTATCATAGCCCTGAATTAATGGCTACTCTTTGTAGAAACTTTAAAGGTGATATATTTATCGCAAACACTCTTACTCTCTTATTTAAAAAGACAGTTCTGAATTTGGGATTGTTTTCCCTTTTATGGTGAGATTTGAAAACTATAAATCTCAGATGTAACAAGCATTTAAAATAATTATATTAAAAATGTAGTTGACATGCAACATTATATTAGTTTCAGGTGTACAACAGAGTGTTGACATTTATGTACCTTATGGAGTGATCACCATAGTAAGTACCCATCTGTCATGGTACAACTTTATTACTATGTTATTGATTATATTGCTTAACAAACATTTTTTAAGTGAAGTAAGAAGGAAGCCCCTTTTCCTAGTCATTTAGTTTTGGATGAGATCCTACTGTGTGGTTCAGACTAAGAACAATAGTTAATGCAGAAAAAACTTGTTACTTTAATTCGAATGTTAGAATTAATTCGATATCAATAATATAAGTATAACAATGTTAAACCACTTCTTTTACAGAAGCTGCATATTGGAATGGGATTTGGAGTCATCTTAATGGAAGCAAAAAATATGAAGGAAAACCAGTTATTTTTATACCAGCATATTGCACCTGGCCAGTAGTTGCAAATGGTTTTCTTTACCCAAGAAAATTTGTGATGTAAATGAGGATACCTTTTTCTAGACTCAGTGTTTACAAATATGTTTCGCCTAAGAGCTATTTGTCCATTCTCTTGGAGAGTGTTTCATTTTCGACCCTTCAGTTGTGAAACATTAATTAGGCAAATGGATAAATGTACAGATGAAGAGCAAGTATTTGATCTTATTGAAAAAAACAAAGCCATATTTTCAGAAAAGCAAGTGGGATATGCATTTAATATACTTTGGCAGTTTCAAAAGCAGAAGACCAGCTTGTTTAAAAGTGTTGAATGTATCAGAGACCATCCTCAATTTCTTACTCTTTATAATTTAACTACAAATAAAATGGAATTCATGAATGATGATAACCTGGTAAATGTGTTGTACATCACACAACAGTAAGTAATGTATTTTTAGATTTCATAGAAATGATTACAGTTTATATTTTAATTTTCTAAATATCTTTAAAATGAAAAACAATGTTTTTTCCCTGTGAATAATTTCCTGAACATCTAATATTTTTAGATGTTTAGAGGATATTCTTTGATTGTCTCCCATCCAAGTACTAACCAGGACCAACCCTGATTAACTTCTGAGATCAGATGAGATCGGGCACGTTCAGGGTGGTACGGCTGTAGACCCTTTGATTTTCATAATCATTTTGCGGTATTTGTCTACCAAAACATCACGTAGAACCTAAACATATATCATTTTTATTTGTTAATCCTACTTGAGTAAAGATGGGAAAAAATTTAAAGAGAAAAGAAATTTTACATTGTTCACAAAGGAATCCAGCCTTCAGAAGAATTGGACTCCCTAAATAAAGGATTCAGCAGTTATATAAAGGAAAAAAACACATAGAAGTTACAGTTAGTTAGTTTATTAGTCTCGTTGGTGGAAATGAGAGCAGTTGTCTCACATCCAACCTGTGAGGGCTCTTTAAGTAGCTATAGATGTCAGCCTGTACAAAGCGGAGTTACAGTTGTTTATGTAGGGAGTCAGCATACAAGAAAGGGGGTTAATTCTATACTTATTTTGAGGATCGATGTTAGACTAAAAGAGAGTGGCTCCCTTTTTTTTTTGGTAGTCTTTCACAGATTGCAGAGTTTTTTCTCTGAGATACATAGAATATGTAATGACAGGCAAAATACCAGTTTTACTTTCTCAGTGGTCATGTTTGGAAATTGCTGAACTAGACAAAATTTATACAGATTTTTATTGCAGGACCCTTTTGCAGAGCCATTTATATACTAGTGCATATTGTGAATCTCTAAGTGGCAGCATTCTCCAAACTCATTCAACCACAAAATACTGTGTTGAACACCTCACAAGACTGATGTGTGTCATGCACAGATGGGGAAATGGTACTTGGTAATGATTGGCCTAAAAACTGCATTTTTGTGTTTCTCTCCTAAGTCATATTTTAATAAGGAAAAGATTTCAAGAGTAGAATATAATTTTTTTTAAGTTTTAAAACAGGATGTAGTTTGATTTTGTTTTATGATTCAATGTGAAAGTCTTTGATTTTTAGGAGGCAAAATAATATAGGCTTAACATTATAAAGATGTTGAAATCAGTTAAAAAGTTATACATACAATATATAGTATATGTGACAATTATGTATGTAAAATATGCATTGTTAGTGAAGGTATACTGGAAAAGAACTCTTACGTGCTACTGGTGGTATAATATGTATTATTACCTTTAAAAATATGCTTGGACCCAATAATTTTGGTTCTAAGATTATTCTGAGTAATCCAAGATACATAGATTCTTGTACATGGATATTCATCTCAGCAATTTTTATAATATTGAAAAACTAAAATTTGAATAGTAGATGAATGTTTAACCAAACAATACTATAGTCACTCAATGGAATATTATACAATCATTAAAAATTATGTTTTGAAGAATATGTAATGACTTGGGCAAATGCCCATAATATAACGTTAACTTACTGAAAAAGGCAGGACATAGAAATGTAAAAGAAATATGTATATTTAATATGCATGTAGAAAAAAATAACTGGAGAGAAATGTTCCAAATTAATGATGGTAGCTATGAGTAGCAAGTTATAAATGATTTTTATTACCCTATTAAAATTTTTCTTTATTTTACAAACTTTCTCCCATAGTAATATTTTTACAATTGGAGCAAAGTAATACATGTTACGTGGACTTTTAACATGAAATGCATCTTCGAGTATTTTCATTGTTCATTGGAGGGCACTGAAATGAGCAGATACATGAGATAAAGTTTAGATATTTGTTAGATTCTACCAAGAAAACACAATACTGTAATGGGAGCGGACCAGAAATAAAGACTGTGTAAGAGTATAATAATTTGAGGTTTACGTTTACATTATAATTTTTACTACATGTATTTTTAACAATTTAAAAATGCATACGTGTGGAAAATTATTTTCTCTTGTTTGTATTCAGTTTTGCTGTTGAGGCCCATGACCCCCTAGTTGAAGCACTAGTTACAGAAGCTTGGAGAAGACTGGAAAGGCAAGTACTCTGGGTTCTTCATTTAAGATCAGGGTTATCTTTTTTAGGGTTAGCACGGTGAAATCTTGTAGGAAAAGCATGGAGAGTGTGTTTTTTCCTTATGAGAGGAAGAATAGTATTTCAAATGTTCCCTCTTTAAATTAGGAGTAAGGAACATAGTGTGCTTTTTCACATTTATAATTAAAATATAAATAAGATAGAGTCACAGCTATTCATGAACTGACATTTTTTAATCTTCTTTTCTGGAAGAGTTCTGCTTCAGAAAGAAAATATTCTTTGAGTAAAAGGCAGTCAGTTAAAACCTACAAGTTCAGGAGCCATAAAAAGAGAAAAAAGAAAATACTAGTTTAGTAGAAAGGAAAACACCATTTAGCAGCATTTGTAGGTACTTGCCTATCTCTACTTTATGGAGAGCCAGTAAACCTGGCTCATAGAAGCTTTCGGGTCCATTGCTGTGAATAGTATCAATTCAGATCTATTTTCCTAAACTATACACACAGCTGTTTTCAGCATATTGTCATAATCAAGAATCATCTAAAAAATGTTCAGGGTATTATTCTTAATGAGAAGTCTATAGTATTTATACTACTTATGAGCATATGAGAAGCTGTCCATATATAAGAGAACTGAGGTAACAGCTAATTTTGGTAAATCTTTAGCTAATCCTGAAAACTTTGACTTTTTAAACCTAGAGATTCTGGATAGCGAGGGTCCATTATTAGTGGAATAAAGCCAATGTTAGTGAGGAAAAGGAAAATCAAGGTGAGAAAGAGGAGAATTTTAAAAAACCACAGAATAACTCTTCCTCTAAACCAACTAGTAACCTAGGGGAGAAAGGAAAGGATTGACTAAGATGAAGAAAAAACAACAAGCTAGTTATTTGTAGATAGGGAGGAGCAGGCATTCCTATATTATGCTTTTTTAGCATATAGCTTCTTAAAGCTAAAACAGTGATAAATTCTTAAAATTGTGGTCATATATGAGCCAGCTCTGTAGGCCATTTTTATGGGGGCTGGATTACAGGGAACCCAACAATTCTCTGGGATTAGAAATTACTCCTTCATTCACTAAATTGTGATTTTAGTTAATCTCTTTGTCTAAACCCATCTGTCTTTCCATCCTTTTCATTTTAGATTCTCTCCCTGTAACTATTCTTTATCGAGAGTAAGGACACTAATCTTACTCCTTTTGTGAGCAATCCGAACTATTGGATCTTTGGGGTTAAGTTTGGTTATTGTTCATAATAGCTCAACACTTTTATTTTTCTTCAGAGCACCATTAAGTATTGTGTGTATTGAGCAGCGTGAACAAATCCATTGTAAAATAAATGTTTAAAAAATTTTTGCTTTTACTATATACTAATTAAACAATTAAATTACAAATGTACAGTTGTACTTCCCAGTGAATCAGACATTTCTTTTAATTTTTCTTTGCTTCAAAATAGCTCAGAAGATAATGACTTTGTTCTATATGGTAGTTTTTATTTTGTAGCAGTCCTTTTTAAAAATAATATATTATAAAAAATTTTAAATCCTAATTTGTATTCCATATGTAGAATTTCTAAGAGTCATAGAATAAGCATTAATTTCTGATTTTTTGTAGTCTTATACCAGGTACTTTTATCTCTAGTTTGGTTCACTCAGTATGTTTTAAAGATTCATCCACAATGTTGCATAATTCAGTTTTTTTTTTTTTGTGGTGTAGTATTTTATAAATATGTGCAAGTTATCCATTGTGCTCTTGATGGACATTTAGATTGTTTCCAGCTTTTTTGCTATTACATATTGTGCTGCTGTGAACTTCTTATGCTTATCGTTTAGTGGATCAGAGTTTTTAAAAATGTATAACAGTTTTCCTTTCTTTCATCTTGTAATTTACTTGTTGAAGGAATTAGATTTTTTCCTATAGAAAAGTTCTTAAGTTTTCACAGTACGATTGATTGTAGTAGCAGTTGTTTTGTTTGTTAATGCACAACCTTGAGTTGAAGTTGTTCTGTCACCTCAAAAAATAAGTAAATGATTCAAATAATTTTGAGTAATTTTTGTTTTTAAAATCTTCTAATAGCATCTGACTTTTTAACTGTTAGCATGGATTACCTTTATAATAATACCATTTTAGAAAATATTTTAAATTAGTAATGTATTAGTATTTTTGATTGCTTTTTATTTTACAAATGTTTTTATGTGTTTTAAGTGAAAGTAAATACTAATGATCTCCTTTGTATATTTCCTTTAATAGGTTTGATATTAATGTGCTGTCAAAATTTTCCTCTTGCCTAGCAGATCAACACTTAAATTTTAGTCCATTAATGGGAAAAATAGCTGATATTGTAAATAGGAAATTGGAAACCATTCAAGACTTAAGGTAAATTTATTTAGGGGCCTTGTATTATGGTGGAAAGATCCTGGGCTTTGGATGTACATGCCCTTAGATTTTAACTTCTTAGAAAGTTCACTATCCTCATCTATAAAATAGGGATAGTAGTATATCAACTTTGGAGTGTTGCTGTGGGAATTATAAGGTAAAGTGTTTAAAGTATAACACAATATTGTTGAGATCTGTGAAAGGTTTGAGATTTTACCTTACTTGTAAGCTAACAAATTTGCCTGCCACCCTTATGACCTCATCTAACTTTAATTACCTTCCCAAAGGCCCTGTCTCCAAATATAGTCACAGTGTGGATGGGGCTTTAACACATGAATTTTGAGGAGACACAATTTAGTTCATAACATACACCAATGTTCATAGCAGTGTTAGTCACAATAGCCAAAAGATTTGGAAACAACCTAAATGTCCATTGATTGATGAACAGACAGTCAAAATGTGGTATATACCTATCGTGGGATATTCAGCGTTAAAAAGGAAAGAAATTCTGATACATGGCATAACATGGAGCTTGAGAAGATGAAATGTTCTGTGGTGGATGGTGGTGATAGGTGCATAACAATGTGAACGTACTTGATAACTCTGAACTGTAACTTAAACGTGTTTAGAATGGTAAATTTTACATTATGTATATTTTCACATACATACAAAAGTAGCTTATAAAAGCAGACAATAAGAATCAGTGTAAATTTTTTTAACTTTCAAAAATTCTTATAGACCCTTTTGAGACTCTAATGAAATCTTTAGACGTTTTCTTACCCCAAACTGCAATTACAAATATATATATACGATTTAAAAAAATAATTTCAGGGTCCTTATGCTTAAACTAAAGAGCGATGTTAAGTTACTAATTAATGTTAATATAAACATTTTGATTAGAGAAGCCCAAGTATTATACAGTTGGGTCTTTAAAAATATATTTATTTTATTGAAACGAAAAAATACATCTTTTATATTTTTATGTCTTTTTTGTACATTGTTTTCTAATAATCATCCCCAAGTATTTGTTATCATCCCCAAGTATTTGTCTTTTCCATTTTGCATTCTTTATTCATTATGGATGCATTCTCGTATTTGTGGTTTTCTGATTTTTGTATTATGTAAGAACTGTCTTTTGAAAGCGGATACCTCACCTTTGTAATTTTGGTGTCTTTCACAGTACCCAGAAAAGTGATTAGTGTTCCTCAAAAATGTTTATTGAATGAAGAAATATTAAATGCTACTTCATGTTCAGTATTGTCTATCATATATTAATATTAGTCTAGCATGAAACATTAAGAAATATGAAATCATTCATTAGTGAGAAATATTTTGCCAAAATTTTTATTAGTAAGTTACAGATAGATATACAGAGAAAGGAGTGACAAAGTGAAGTCTACTTCCAAACATATAAAATGAGACCTTTAATGTTACATGCATGGGCTGCTGGTCTAGTGACTTTTGAGTAAATTTCACTACAATATTTTCTTTTAAAGCAGTTATCTGTAGGATGAGATATTATACATACCCCCCCAAAATATTATTTCAACACTTTTTTGTCTAAAGGGGTTCAATTACTGGGAGATGTCACTCAAGTTCTACTGGTATTTTAAAGAAAAATTTTGTGGTGTAAAACCCATAATATTTTTACCTTTTCATATCTATTGTTTAAGTTTTAGAATAGTTCATTATTCTTAAGTAATATAAAAATCTTTCCTTTTTCAGGTCCTTGTCTGTTTTGATGGTCAGCATATCATCTTTAATATCACAACGCTTTCAAGATCAATTAGTGAACAAAACAGAACTTCTTTTTGACACCATAGATTCTTCCCAGGTCAACATTGCAAGAAGAATAGTACAGTTTCTTCGAAATATTAAATATAGTTATTACCCACTATTAGAAAGGTGTAATAAAGTGTTTTTAAGCCATGTAAACCATCTTGATTTGGAGTCCATCAGTAAAATACTTAGTCTGTACCACTTTCTACAGTTTCATAGTTTTGAATTTGTTTTAATGGCTAAAAAGAGGTTAACTGAAATGATTCCTCAGTTTGATCACCCTGCTAGCTTTGTAAAATTGTTTGTTGCATTGGGACCCATGGCAGGACCTGAAGAAAAGAAACAGTAAGTTCAGCTGAAAATGCTTTAATTATTTATTTTTTTTGAGAATATTTGGAGCCTTTCAGCTTAGATCTTCTTGCAGTTCTGGAATGCACAAAAATCAACCCATTCAACTGTGGAATTGAAAATAATCTCATATGCTCTGCTTGTTGATTATTCTAATTTACATCTCAAACTCAGTCTACTACTGTGTTTTGAAAGGGGGCCAATAACTCTGTAGTGGTGGCCAACACAGCAATGGATGAGGGAGGGCACTGTTTAAATGTTTTTATTCTCCCTTCCTGGGCCATGTGACTGGCTTCAACATAGGTATAAGACTCCCCCACTTCCAGTACAGGGTGTGGACTATTCAGAATTATGGTGGTAGTTAACAATGGACCATTTTTTGCTTTGTTGTTTGTACATTCATCATCAAAAGCATTTATTATGCATGTTGGCATATATTCTCATGTCAAGTTTGAATGAATTTGATCTGTCTCCTATCTTTTAAGAATTTCCAGTATTGCCAGATATTGATGTAGATAGAAATATTTGGGATATAAAGATGAGCAAATACTAAATACATGATTACCAATATGAGTAAACTGATAAATCCTATTAGTGTATTAGTTAAGCAGGAGTTGTAGGAGTTGCATAATAGAGGTATCTACATCATTACTCTGTTAGCCAGAACTTCATGGAGAATTTTATTTTTAAAAGTCCTTTGAATTATGAAGAAATTTAAGGGTACATTTTAAGAGACTGTATGAAGATGGGAACAAGATGATTATTTTTAAAAGTTTTATTGGAAGCTTTCTCTTTTTTTTTTGGTCAAGTATTGTTAAAATCTCATAAGCAGTATAAAAGTTGAATTTAACTGGGTCCCAGCATTTAAGGCTTTTATATTACAATTGGGAAGATAGAAATATGTAATTGAAATATATAATATATAATATGAAATATACCATGATATTGAAATATAGTTTATGAGTAAGTATTCAAATTAGTGATATAGATAGTAAGTGCTATGGGCATACAGAAAGAAAAATGCGGACTAAAGTAGTTGGGAAAAGTTACGAGAAACTGGATTTGAGACGTTTGATAAGGTTGGTGAAAAGGATAGTGTGGAGTAGTGTGAATAGAAAATTAGTTTATCCTGCTTTCTTCAGATTTCATGTTTTGGGCTTGTCTTCTAAATTATTCTAAAAGACATTTATATTTAAATACTTTACTGCACTACTTTAGATGCTTTTAAAATGGATTATCTTTGTAAATTTTCTGTTTATAATGTTATAGCAAGTACTTAGTATGTAAGATTTCTGTTAATATGTAGGTATGTTGACTTTGTGATTATATCTTACTGAATTTTTAAAAATTAGGATATTCTTTAGCTCTCTAGTACTGAATAATTTCACTGAATTATTGTATTATATAACCATTGTAACCTTATCTTATTTGAAAATCAGTTAAAATCTTTTGTCTATATTTTTTAAGAGACTTTAAAATTAGATTATACTGAGGCCTTAATTGCTTTGAAAAAATTATATTTTTTCTTTGAGAATATATGATCCCCAATTATGTGGGGAGAAAATTGAAATTACATATTTGAATTCAGTTTTTGTTCATATTATTTCTTTTCTACTTATCACCTAAGAACCATTATTTAAAGTATATTTTTAGAAATTAATCATCAGTTTTTCAACATCAAAATATTTTTTTTGCTTCTAGGCTTGAATCAACTATATTATTAATGTCAGAGGAGCTGACCAGCCAGCAAGCCCTGGCAGTGATGGGAGCAATGGAAGAAATGGAAAGCAGAAATTCGCGTCTGATTAAAAAGTAGTCCTTTCTGAAATTCATGGTGTTATGTTTAGTTGTCATTCATAAGTAGCTATGTTTTTGAGAAAAGTTATGATTTTTTTCTATAATATAGCTATTGGTTTTGAAGAATAAGGAATTAACACTTAAGGTATTATTTATTTCCTAAATTGTTTTTCAAAATAGAGATTCTAAAATTTTGTGTAGCATTTTTCATTTCATTTGCTCCTGTTATTCTCAAGCAGAGCATCATAATCTAGGAAAGTGGAGAGCATAGAGCAGGACCGTTTTCAAATGGATAATTTCTGCAAAACAGTTAACATGTTCATATACTGGAATTGTTTCATACCACTGTTGTTACCTTGAAATCTTACTACCATATATTGACTTTTTTTGTTAACTTGACATTTAAGGAGGAAAAAATACATGATTTGGATTATATATATGTGATTTTTTATTATATATTCCTTTAAAAAAGTATTTCTTCTGCTCTATTTCTTTCCTCCAGCTTACTGCCTCTTAGCATTTTCCATTGCCTTTATGTATCTCTATTCGAGGGCCAGTGGATTTAAAGAAGAAAATTAAATCAGTTTTGCTAATTGTTAGTAACTCTTGGTAAAGATTTTTTTTGGTGGGGAGGGTGTGGAATTTGATGGCTGTTCCATGAATTTTTTTTTTTTTTTTTATTTAGGAAGTAAAACTATATGCTTTTTTCTGAGCTCTTACTATTAGTAATTAAATATTATTTGATTCACACTTTGATGACTTTTACCTCATTCTAAGTGTTACATTTCTATTGCTACCTGAGACAGTTCTTTAAGAACAGAAAACCTTGTCTCATTCATTGTTGTTTCTCTAGCACAGAGCATGTCTGGCATGAAAGAGCTCCTCAGTAAAGGTTGAATGAATGAATGAATGAATGAATGAATGATTATAATATGTTTTATCATTCTTTTTAGAATTGCTTCAATTCTGCATAAACACTTAGATGACTATAAACCAGTAGAGTTATTGAAGATAACCAAAGCATTGATATTTTTACATTTCCAAAGTAAAGAGCTTTTTGTGAAACTCAAAGAATTACTGCATAGGTAAGATTAAAGTGGAAGTGTTTGTTTAATCTTTTATTTTGTAATCTAATCTTTTAATTTATAATCTAGTTTTATTTAATTATGTATAGAGTTGTTGGAACTTTTGGAAGCAGAGTTGAGTAGCTTATTATTAAAAATGTTAAGATACTATCTCTCTTTATGCTTAGTATATTTAGTATATTTTGAAATGGAAATGAGGCCAGTTAGGGTGATACATTCTCCTTTCCTTCAGGAATTGAATAACCACAAAAAGATGCTGAAGGAGGCAAAACTCCATTTGAGAGCACTAATATTTAGGGGCCGTCAGTTTGCTAACTTGCCTATTTTAAGGCATAATAAATTTTTTAATTTGTAATTTTAAAAATATATGAGGGTGATATTATTGAAAAAGTATTTTTATACAGAATTTTCTCTTTATAATTAAAAATTGCTTTTCAGTGGATATAGTATTCATATTTAAACTAAGGAGTTACTAAGTTTTTCATTGACTTTCATTACACTAAAATGGAGTTTTCCATTAAAATTTTTTATTTTAAACATTAGAATAATGATTTTAGTGAAATTAAAACCAGACTAATCTTCTTCCCTTCCATTTTTCTATACTAGTTTGATTTCTGAAAGACCAGGCATGGGACTCTCTGCCATAATCAAAAGATTAGCATATAATTGAAAATGATTTTTGTTTTGATAGTGATATCATTATGGTTAAGGATTTGAACTGAGGAATAAGTGGTGGCACTTTATCAGATAAGAATTTAGCATATTAGGTATGTTATAAGAAAATTCACATTCTTCTTGAAATAACTTTCTTATCGAGGTTATTATATGCAGGATTACTGTTTCTTTACCCTTCTTATATTTAGCATAGGCTTTCATATAGCTTCTAAATTAAGAATTTTGTATTCTAAATCAGATATCATAAACTGGCCCAGAGACATGATTTATTTGGCCTGCACAGTGTTTTTAAAGAAATTAAACTATGCAATACTGTTTGCATATAGGTTTGTTAACAGAAAAGTAAGACAGGAGTGGAAGTGTCAAAGGGGATTTCACTTTACCTATATTTTATTGCCTTTATAAAAAGACTTGAAGCAAATATGACAATGATGGATTTTAGTAATTCTCAGTAGCAAGAGTCTTTATATATCTCTGTGGTTTAAAATTTTATTAAGGAATTAGTTGGGAGATGTTATATAAGCATAGATGCTTATGCTTCAGAATTATTCACTTTTTCCAGATTGTATGAAAGAGCACAATATAATTAAATTAGTTCACATAATTGTTAATACAAATAGCTCCTGAAACCATTTGAGGAACCCAGGGAGTTCATATACTGGAATAACATTTTTTTTTTTTAAACGTATTGAAATACCATCCACATAAAATATACATATCCCCTCCTCATTACCCTGCTCCCTCCACTTGCCCCAGGTTAACTACTGTCCCTACTTTAACTGCATGGAGTAGTTTTGCCTGTTTTGACTGGCTTCTTTTGCTCAATATTATGTTTTGAGATTTACCTCTGTTTTTGCTGTATTGTATTCTCATAAGAATATAACGGATTTCTTTTTTATCCATTCTATTGTTGATGGATATTTGATTTATTTCGTTTTTGGCTGTTATAAATAGTTCTGTTAGGAATATCCTTGTACATATTTTTAATGAACATATGTATGCATTACTGTGGATATTTACCAAGGAGTATGATTGATGGTTCACAGGTTATACATATGTTTATCTTCAGCAAATCCTGCTAAACAGTTTACTGAAGTGGCTAGACCAGTTATATTCCCACTAGCAGAATGTGAGCATTCCTGTTGCTCCACATTCTCACCAACACTTGGTATTTTTTTATTTTCTAATTTTAGCCATGCTGGTGGATATATGGTGACATTGTAAATAAACATACATGCATATGTAAATTTTGGAATTTGAGGAAGAATTACAAGGAAAAACATCAATTGGAGGTTGGAGGGATTTTTGTCTATTGGGAGTTTATTTTTAGACAGTTATCACAAGATTAGCAAATATTGAAAGTTCTATCCCTTGAGTCACTTCTGTAAACAGATACAGCTTTTGGGGGCTTTCTTTTCTTTATATAAACAGTGTATTCATTTTTTTGTGGTTATAAGAATAAAATATTCATTTAATACTTATTGAGTACTTAATTTGTAGCAGGTACTGGGCCAATATTATGTAAAAGTCACAAAAAAGATCTTTTCGTGGTTCATAAGTGTGATAATTGGGTATTCATGTTATTGTTGAGATGTGCCTCCCTCAAACCTTGTTAGGATGTTGGCATGTTAACTGTTCAATGTGAAAAAAATTCATTTTGAAAACAAAAAAGTATAAAGAAGAAAATAAAAATTATTCATAGACCCATTCAACTGCTGTCAACAATTTGGTTTATTTCTTTGTGGTATATACTTACTTACATATGTATGTATACGTATTTTTTTTCCTTTCATAGTGAGACTCCTGAACATGCAGTTTTGTATTCTTTTTTTATTTCTTCTACTTAACCTTATCAGCATTTCTCCACATCTTTTAAAAGTATTTGTAAATGTTTTTAAAGACTGTGTATTATCCATCATATGACTGTACTATCATTCACTTAACTATTCCCCTTCATTGGCTATTATATTGTTTTCAAATTTTAAACATATTAATAATGTGGTGAATAATGTAACACACATCTTTGCCTGCATTTTAGATTATTTTCTTAGACTTGTTTCCCTGACAGGGATTCATCATGTCAAAGGATAAAATTACTTTTAAAGTTCTTGAGCCATAATGCTAAATTACTTTTCAGAAAGGTTATACCAACTTTTAAAGTTTACTAACAGTGAATGGGAATACCTGTATTAATGTACCTTTCTAGTGTTGAATATTATGATTATTTCAATATGCTAATTTAATATTTTAAAAAGCTACTTAATTTTGTTTTAATTTAGATTTGATTATGGGTTTTTTGTGTTTTTTTAAGGTTGGGCTTCTCATATAGCAGAAGTAAGATGGGAACCAATATAATTGAGTGATCACCGTATGCCAGGGCCTGTACTAGGACATACTATCTCCCGACAGGTCATATCAGAATTTCAGCCCGAATTCTGTCTCTAGCAACAGCAGTGGAAAGAAACATTCTTCTGACACTGACATTTTGTTTGTCAGGGACTATGAATTTATTTTTGCATGAAAATATTTGAGATGTGCTTTAGAATATTTTAAGGCTTCCCTTAGTAATTCTTTATAGGCCTGTCATCTTTGAATTAGTTAACCCTTAAAATAAATCAACTTTAAGCATACCATACCTAGTATAATAATAATTACATATTCATATTTTAATATTTACATATAATTTGTCTTTCATTGCTGATGCATTAATTTTGTTCTTTTCACTCCCCCCATCCCCCCTGCTTCTTTTATAGTTATTTGAAAATTAGTGTCAAACCTAGTGAGATTTCCAGCCTGGTGTGCGCTATTTCCATGCTTCCATCTCCTCACCTAGATGAAGTGGGGATATCTCGAATTGAAGCAGTTTTGCCACAGTGTGACCTAAATGACCTGAATGGTTTTGCCACATCTATTTTAAGATGGATTCAGTATGATTGCATGCATCTGGATAGTACTGGAAAACAGCTGAAACTGCTTCAAAAATTAGATCACTATGGTCATCAGAGTCTACAAAAATGCAACAATTTGAATCTGTTATGGGAAGAACTTAAGTCTTTAAAAGGAGACTGGTTTGCCCAGTCACTTCTTGAAGAAACGATTGCTACTTTACAACGTTTGGTGGATGAAATTAATTACATGAATGTTGCAGGAATTGCGTCTTTTATTTCCAGAACTAACTACCTCAGTACTTTGCTACTTGATAGGATAGCCTCAGTGGTCCTTCAGCAGATTGAAAAGGTGAAGTTGAAATGTCACACAACTTTATATAGTTGTCAACTTCTAAAAGCATTCATGTTTATCATATGTACTTTGAGAACTTGGTTGGACTTTGAAGTTTAAAAAATTAAACTCTAGTTTCTGGTTCACCAGTTTGTCGTGCTTCCCCTTAAAGCCTTTTTCTCTAGCATTGCAGATTTGGGCAGATTAGCAGTTATCTTTTGATTCATTGAAATATTGTTAAGATCAGTCAAAACTTATTGACTAGATAATTAATACAATACTGGCTGTATTAGCATAGTAGAGTATGAATGATTTTTATTTTCTTTTTATTGTTTATAATCCTACTTTTACTATTTAAAAACAACTACATTCAAAAATGTGAGAAGTGTTTAAACAGAAAATTATAAGGTATCCATTAACTTCACTACAGTTGACCCTTGAACAATGTGGTAGTTGTTACTAAATCCACATACAAATTTTGACTCCCCAGAAACTTAACTAATAATAGCCTACTGTTGACCAGAAGCCTTACTGATATCAGTCAAGTAACACATTTTGCATGTTATATGTATTATATACTGTGTTCTTAAAATAATCTAGAAAAAAGAAATTGTCATTAAGAGGATCCTAAGGAAAATACATTTACAGTATTTATTGAAAAAAATGCATTTAAGTGAACTTGTGGAGTTCAAATTCATTTTGTTCAAGGATCTACTGTATTCTTAAATTGTCATTGTGTTTTCTTACAAATTTATTTCTGGAACTTATAAAATGATGCTTTTTGAAGTGAGAAGATGCTCACTTACAAAATTTATTGTGTATATAAGGATAAGGCTTTTACTTAGACAGTATTTCTCAAATGAAAATAAAATTCTGTCTTATTTGCTTAGCATATTGCTTGTCATCAGTAAGTATTGGATGAATGAGTAAATAATTAAATTAAAAATTGAATGAATGAAAGAAAAATAAATTCCAATGGTTATAAACTCCCCTAATTATATTATATGATGAGTCTACAAAATGCACTATCACAGAAATCAGTGATACTATTTTCTGTTCATTTTAATGACTATTGCATTTTTAGAATAAGATTTTATACCTAACAAAATTAATTTGTAGATTATCTGATTTATTTTTTCTGCCTTAATACTTAGAGTTACTAGAAATTAGTGGTGAGATTAAGTAGATTATGGCAGGGGGGTGGAAAAATTAATAAACAGTGATACATTTATCATTTAACCATAGGCATTCTCATTTAACTATAGGCATGTTAGAAAAAAATTTCTACCTAAAATAATAATTAGGTTAAGATTTTGTTTTACTGAAGTTTGACTGTAACATTTTTGTTCTGTTTATGCAGATCCATCCTTTCTCAGTCCTTGCTATTATTCTTCCATTCAGCATCTTGAACTATGATCCACCTCAGAGGAATGAATTTTTCGGAACTTGTATCCAACACCTTAATTCTTACTTAAGTAAGTGTATTGTTTGGTACTATGTTGAATAAGTAGGTGAGAGGATATTGTAGATATTCCTCATTTAAAGGGTAATCATAAAAGCTGTGGATTGTGTACCTTAAAAAATGTGTATCCTTTTTGAAACTTTATTATGAAAAATGTCAAACTTACAGATAAAATTGAATCAACAAGGAACACCTATATACTCATTAGGTAGATTCGATAATCGTTTCATTTTATCCCATTTGCTATACTGTTTGTCTTTCTTGCTCTATTTTTTTCTGTGTCATTTCAAAGTAAGTTGTAGGCATTGGAAGTGACCCTTCACTTCTAATTACTCAGGCATACACCTTCCTAAGAACAATCAGCTTCTCCTGTATCACCACAATTCTGTTATTCCACCTAAGAAAAGTAACAGTCTCTTAATATATAAAACACAGTTTATGTGTAAATCTCCTTTGTCAGTCCCTAAATACCATTTAGAGTGGTTATTTTGGACCCAGGATCCAATCAGTTTCACTCATTGTGTTTGGTTGTTATTTCTTTGGTCTCTTATAGTCTAGAATATTCTCTGGGTTTTTTGTTTTGTTTTGGTCTGTGTTTTTTGCTTGATTTTGACTTTGGGGAAAGGTTTTTGTTTTTTTTCCCTAAGTTTTTGCTGCCATAGCTTTCAAATATACAGAATAATTGAAAGAACAATATAGCAAACATCTGTGTACTGGATACTCACAATTTAGCTTTTGAATAATTATTAACATTTTGCCACAATTGCTGTGTGTGTGTGTGTGTGTGTGTGTGTGAGATGAACTATTAGAAATGCCAGGCCTAAATACTTGAGGTTATAAGGATATTCAGTATCACACTTAAGAAATGAACAAGTACCATCTACTACCATAATCAAATTTTCCCAAATCTCACCAAATTGTCCTTTGTCATTTTTTTTTTAAGCAACCAACATTGAATTCTTATGTCACTTTTCCCTATCTTTTTTTTTAATCTTGGTATTTTTTTTTAATAAAAGAGATTGGCCATTTACTATTGATTATGCACATTTTGAATTTGTCTGATTGCTTTTTGTTAAAACCTTGCTTCTCCATCTCCAGTATTTCTAATAAACTAGAAGTTAGTAATAGATGCTTGGTTAGATTCACATTAAACATTTTTAGCAAAAATGCCTTCAATGTGGTGCTGTGTACCGAATATTTGTAACATTTCTGGAAATATAATATCTAATTGTTTATCAATTTTAATAGTTATGCTGGTGTGAGAATAGTATAAATACAGTAATTATATCAATATCATGCTCATAGACTTGCTACATTTTTGTGAGACCTATAAACCAGATAGTGTCTAATCATGTCTGATACTACTGTGTCTGCTAATAGGTAAAGTGGGACTATGATGTATTTATATGTGAATGAATGGATGCCTGTGTGGCATTCATATATACCCTTTTTTTAGTATCATAGCTATATGTAGAAAGATGAGACTTGTATCTGAGACTTAGAGTGTGCTCTCCTGGGTGTTCTGTCATCTTTCAAAAATCAGAAGGAAATGAAAGCACATCTCTTCCCATATTCTCTAAATATAGGCTTAGATATTACAATTTTTTTTTTAAATTAAAGGTATAAGAAAAGAAAGGTTGAGAAGTACAGCTTTGCTTTTTTGAAGACTTACAGAGAAAGTTTGGAAAATTATTGGAGACCTTTATAAGTACAATTTTACATAACTAATGAAGTAATTTTCTTAATTTTGAATACGAGTTTCAATGGGTCAGTTTTGCTGGTGGAGATCGTCACAACCTTGTTTATTACTGGATCTTGCTTTATTAAATAAACTCAGCAAAATATCCAAAAGAAAATATTTAATATCTATTTTATACTTTGTACGAATATTGCTATAATAGAGCATTTTAGATAACACCTTCCCTCTCATCAGACATGTCTCTTGGATGAGGCAAATCAGCTAAATTACCTCAAGCCTTATACACTGGGATATATACCACGCTGCTGGGTGATAGGTAAGGGAGGAGGTGCTAAGTGAGATCTGAGCTTCATATATGTCTGCACTCAACCATGAGAGCTGAGATTCCTACAGAACAGCACAGTATAGTAGGTCCAGGCTCCGAGCTAGACCCTCCAGGTAAATCTCAGCCTCTACTTGCTGCTAACCATGTGACTTTGGGCAAGTCATTTAACTTCTCTATAACGTAGTACATTCATTTACAAAGCGGAGATAGTAATTATTTCTACTGTATACTGAAGTGAGATTTAAATTTGTGAAGTGCTTATAGTAATATCTAATACATTCTGAGCACTATTATTACCATCAATACATAGAGACTGGGATTACTTCTTTTTATATTCTCTGTTGACGTTTAGTTTTGAGTTCTTTTCAAAGCAATTTAAAAACTTTATGGAAAAATAATAAACATTCGCACATCCTTAGCATATAGTATGAATTTACACAGATTGAATCACCTAAGGAATCAGTACATGGATCAAGAAACAGAATATTACCATAGTACCCTTCTCCCCTCTCCCCATTTCCTACTCTACCCCTACGCAGAGGTAACCACTTCACCACTATGGTGACAGTGTTGTAACAATATAAATTAGTTTTGTGAAGGCTGTGTTTATCATTTTTTAAAAACCTGGTTTTACTTGAACAAAGTGTTGCTTATGTACATGTGAGGTAACTGTGCATTATAATTTTTAAAAATCTTAATTTTGTTTTAGCTTTGTTAGATCCTCTCATGTTAGTGTTTCTTGGTTTCTCTTTGGCCACACTTGAATATTTTCCAGAGGATCTGCTAAAGACAATTTTTAACATCAAATTCTTAGACAGATTGGATTCTCAACTTGAACGTATGTATCTACATTTTATTATCATTTGTACTTTATATCCAAGTTTCAGTTCTACCTATACTGACGCATTTAAATGTTAATTTTTTTTGTTTATAAAAGTATTTTCTGCTTGTTGTAGAAAATTTGGAAAACACAAAAAACTATAAAATAAAAAGTTAAAGATTACTCATAATCTTACCAACAAGGGAAACTACTGCTTTTAATGTTTTTGAAAGTTTCTTTTCTCTCCTTTTATATGTATGTTTATATGCCTATATGTATTTTAAAACAAAATTTGGATTATGTATGTATTTACTTCGGATGTTGCCTTTTGTCATTGAACTGTATTTTGAACAATTTTCCATGCCATTAAATATTTTTGATGTCATGATTTTTTTAATATTTATGTAATCCGCCATTATATGAATGTAATAACATATATTTGTTATCTTGTAGGTTGTTTTCAGTTCTTTATTTTTATTAATAATGATTGTTATATGTCAATCATTGACCTCATTTTTGTTTCCTGAGGATAGATTCCTAAACGTGGGATATTAAGTCAATGAAAATTCTTTGGCAGTATTTTTTAAAATGTAGTTTTAACATTCATAATTAGTGGAAACAACACAGGAGTTGATCCTAATTGTGCCACTGAATATAATAACTTAAAAATATAAAGCACATGTGTGCAACTGAAATGATATTATGAGATTAAAAGTATCAACCAATAATTGGGATAAATGAATGTGAAAAAATGGATTGTTTTTGTTAGGTTCAAGCTATCGAAATCCATTAATTTTTTTTTTTTAATTTCAGTTTTATGTTCATCTCTGAATAGAAGGGTCCAATTTCGTCTTATGGAATTAAATAGAGCAGTCTGCTTGGAATGCCCTGAGTATCAGATTCCATGGTTCCACGACCGCTTCTGTCAACATTATAATAAAGGTTTGAGTTTTCTTTGGGTCAGAAAGTAAAGTTTAATCCTAAAGTAAATTATTAAGTAGTACATTGTTATCATTGTTAAACCTTAACCATGACAACAGAGTTGTTAAGAGTGCCATGACCTATTTAATGGAACCGTTTTGTAGGCGAGATTTGTATTAAAAGAATTTCCTAATATTTAGGACACTAAACCTTTTGGTAGAGAGCAAAGAACTTGTGTTATACTGAACTTAGTGTCATTGAATATGGTATTACACTGAAGCTCTTGTTGGAAATGTTAATTTTCACTTTTTAGTTTATAGAACTGGAGGATGTTTATTCAAAAACTGATTGCCTTATTTCAAGTGAGCTAATTATTTTTATTTTCATAAAGATATTGGCAGCATGAATGGAGCACAACAACAGATTTCTAAAATGTTAGCAGAGATATTAGGAGGGATCAATTGCGTAAAAGCCTCGGTTCTTACACCTTATTACCACATGATAGGTAAGTCTTTAATTGTCTCATTAACCAGAATCTTAAAAGGAAGTTTTAAAATTTTTTTTTCACATTATCTTGAAAATAATAGAAAGAACAGTGCAATGAATCCTCGAGTTTCCATGGTCCAGTTTTGATAACCATCAACATTTTGCTATTCTTCAAAAAAATTTTTTAAGGTCCGTGTTTCACCAATTTTAAGTACATAAAACAGAGATTGAGATTCATTGGACATTTCTGGATCTTCCAAAGATTCTATCTCTCTTTCTCAGTGCCCTAAAGTTAGGGGAATGATTTATGTCAGTTTCATTATTTTAAGTTCATCTGAGAAACTAACTTGGATTATCCTGGATGAGGATTTCCATAGGTAGATGCTCAACTCTAATCAGATTAAATGTTGTTTCTCAGTGATATAGTTAGAGAAGGCATTTTGATTTAGTTGTGAATAATAAAGCTGGTAGGCTAGGTGATATGTTGGATGGCAATATAAGATTTTTTAAAATTTCTACATTCAAGTGGTAGACTTAAATGAAAAGAAATTTTAAGAGGATTAACAAATTTTCTAAGTTAGGTTTAGAAAACATCTGTATACATACAGGCTATTTTAGAAGGTTATAAGCTTGATTACAAACTAATATAAATGGTTGTCAAAAATAAAATATTCTTTTAAACTATATTATTAATAATAACAAGAAAGTTGGTAGTCTTACTACGTTCTGTTCTTTGGACACAGTATTCTTTTTTTCAAATGTTGCATTTTATGAGAGACAGTGACAAATAAGGCCTAGAAACAAAGGATCTAGAAATCATGTCTTAGAACTAGAGAAGACTGAGACTGCACGTGTTTCAATCCTCGAGTAAGGTCCTAAATCTCTGAACCTTATTAGTGTTTTTATCTGTAAAATGGGGATAATAATTCCCGCTTAATAGGATTAATCCATATATTGAATGAAAGCATTTAGTACTACTCTTGGAACATAGTAAGTGCTCAGTAAATTTTATGAAAAAAAAACTAGGCTGTTTAGTCTAAAAATGAGAAGTCTTATGGAGAGCATAACTTAAAATATTGGAAGGATTATTATGTGAAAGAAGAATTGGGTATCTTTTATCTCAAGGATAAAAAATGGTAAAAATTAAAAGAGGATTTAAACTCAGTATATGGAGTATTGTATGAGAGACTTGTTGAAATATGAAAATGGGCTGCTTTGTGAAAAAGTAATATTCAAGCAGAGGATAGATGATCAAATGATGGTGTGTGTGTATGTGTGTGATTTCTGTACTTGGCCGGAGGCTGAACCTGACAGGCATTGATACTCTCATCTTTCACTGCAGAAAACTCTCAGTTGTTGGCTTACATTATTCAGTATTAGGTTTGGTTATGACTGACGAAAGTCCACAAATAACAGAAACTTAACAAAATTTATTTCCTCCTTCCATACACATAGGATGTCCAGGGCTGGATGCCAGCTCCACAAACATCAAATATCCAGGATCCTTCTATTTTGTTATAATCTACCATCCTTAACACGTAGTTTCCACTTCATGGTCCAAAATGGCTGTTCCAGTGTTAGTCCAAGCAGGAGGAGGAGGGAAGGAAAGAGAAGGGTGTCCCTTAAGTGCAGTCCCATGAAGCTATTCATACCATTTTTAAATTATACCCCATGGCCACACTTGCTTTCAAGTGAGTTTAGAAAAGATGGTTTTTATTCTGGGTGGCCATGTACCCAGCTGAACTTTAGGGACTCTGTTATTAAAAATGAAAGTAAGAATTGGGTATTGGGCAACAACTTGCAGTCTCTGCCAGAGGATTGTGTTAAAAAGATATTGTCAGGGTTGTGTTAAAAGTTAATGCTCACACACACACACACACACACACACACACAAAAGTTAATGCTCACAGAAGGAAACACACTAAAATATGAATATGAAAATGATCTATAATCCCATCTCATATAATTTGAAATTATTGAGCACTAACTCTGTGACAGGCACTATGGGTGGCTTGCATTTTATTCTTTTTAACATTTCTTTCAAACTAGAATACACATCCATTGTAAAATACTTGGAAAATACGTAAAAGTGTAAAGAAGAAAAAAATCATTTATAACCTGTCCCAAAGTCACATAGATAGATAGTGCTGAAACTAAGATGATTATAGCCCAAGCCCATTGTAGTTCCAATTCTTACTTATACATCCTGTTGTCGAGGTTTATTTTTTATGTAAAAATGTATATAAATCATTAAAATAAGATTTAATAGGTAATACTTGTATATAAGGATGTGGTATAATTAAGATAACATGTAGTATGGTTAAGAACTATGACTTGGAAGCATTGATTTTAAGGTATTAAAAGAAAACTCACAAAACAATTCACTTGATACATGCTTATCATCGAAAAACTAACTAGGAAGGATAGATAACAAAAAAGAAAAATTACCCATGATACAACCACTGTTTACTTTTGGTGTCTTGTTTTTCGATTTCTGACTTTTTCTTAAACCAAAAATGGCTTATTCTGTAGTTTCTAACTTTCTTTAATACTGAGTATATTTTTCTATGCCAACAGTTATATTTATAACACTTTTGTTAATGACTATATAATATTTCATTGAATGAATGTGCTGTGGTTTATTTAATCAGTTCTTAAGGGTTTTTTGCTGGTATGTACATTTGTCCAACAGTGCTGCAATTTCATATAACAACAATAGTAATTGATACACTTATATATTGCTTATTATGTTAGATACTGTCTTAAGTATTTTGTATATAATGAACTTGTTTATTATGTCCCTACAAAGAATGTAAAGGAATGTATTCTATTTTACAGATAAGGCCCAGAGAGAGAGATTATTTTTTGCTGAAGGTTATATAGCTGGCAAATGGCATAGCCAGGATTAGACCTCATCATTCTAGCTCCAGAATTGATTCTCTTAATGAGATAACTATACTTCATGTTCGATAATTAACTTGAAGGTGTTTCAATGCCCCAGTTTCTCTTATGTGTAAAAAGTAGATAGTTAAACCTACCCTTTCCTCCATTCATTGTTTCTTTTCTTTCTTTTTTTCTTGGTTTAAATACTTTTATTATTGTTTATATTATGGAAAAATTTCAAACACATACAAAAGTGAGGAGAATAGTATCAACATCTAGCATCAACACCTATCAACACCCACTCACCAGAGTCCTAGCTGATTCTTTTCAAGCAAGTCATAGATAATATATCATTTCAATATAGCTAAAAGATAAGGATGGCCTTTTAAAAACATAACCACAGAACCATCATCACCCTTAAAACCATTCACAATAATTTCTTAATGTCACATAGCTTAACAATGCTCAAATATCTCAATTTTCTTTTATATGTTATACAGTTTGTTAAAAGTGAGATCCAAACATTGCATTTGGTTATTCGTCTTTAAAAATTCTACCTTTCTCTGTTTTCTTCTTACAGTTTATTGAAAAAATTTTTTTTACATTCTGGACTTTTGCAAATGCATGGTGTCATTTAATGTGCTCCTGCACCTCATTTTCTTATAAACCAGTAGTTATATCTAGAGATTTGATTAGATTCAGGGTAGATTTTTTTTTTAGCCAGACTATTTTATAGGTGATGTGTACTTCTTATTACATCATGTCAGAAGACACATAATGCTGATGGTCTTACTTTTATTAAGATCCATCAATGGGTTTGTATGTTGTCAGCTCTCTCATCAGCATTTCACTTACTGATTTTAGCAGCCAGTTAATCATTGCCTAAATCCATCATTCATTAGGGAAGCAGAGTAGAGATATTCAGCATCTTTCATTCCTTATGACTTTATTAGCTGGAATTTGTCCTAAAAGAACTTTCTCATATCAAAATTAACTCTTATGCACTCTTCCTATAGGAAAGATAGGATACAGGCTTGAACCTTTGTCTTACTTGTTATCCGATGAGTTGGTTTAGCTCCCTCCAAATGTAACCAAAATAATTAAGGGGATAAAAATAAAACTCTTTGATGTGATTTGGCCTTAATATAGCCTCATGTTAAATACAGCTTAATAATACTTGCTGGTTGATTTGTATTGATTGATTTTCAAGTGCCATTGGACCAGGTCTTATCAAATAAGTTTTACCCATGATACAGGTACATCATTCTGTGTGTGCGTGTGTGTGTGTGTGTGTGTGTGTGTATGTGTGTGTGTATTTAAAATATATCTTAAACTTTTACCTGTAAGAATTTACCTAATTCATACTGTTGATTCCTGTACTTCCTTATAGATTTTGAGTGCATCTTGGATAAAAGAAAAAAACCTCTTCCTTATGGAAGCCATAATATAACTTTGGGAAAACTGCCAGAAATGCACTGGGAATCAAATACCCAAATAGTCGGATCAAGGCTGCCACCAGGAGCTGAAAGGTAACTTATTTCTCAGTTTCAGATTTTGTTATCTAAATGTTAGTATTGGCATAATTTAATGATCTCATTTATCAAGGATTTATGGAGTAGTGGAATATGCTTCTCAGCTGTCTCACACATTCTACCCCATGTACCTTTGCTTTTCCTGTGTCTTCTGCCTTAATGTCCATCCTTGCATTGTGTAAAGCCTAGCATCTCTCTTACTTAAAGTGCTCACTTTCTAGTTGACCTCAGCAGAAGCAAATAATACCTTCTTTGGAGCTTCTCTACCTCTACTTTTCTGATAGCATATAGCCATTTCTTACACTGCATTACAGTTACCTACTATTTATCATATGTTCTCTATTAGAATATAAGCTATGCTGATTTATCTTTGTATTCCTTACAGCACCTTCTTTACAAAGAAACAAATGGATGAAATGATGGAGATATTTAGTATATTCAGTATAAATTCTAATGAATAGACTTCATTGTCATTAATTATTTATGTAGAAAAATAACTAGGTGTACTCATTTATATTCATTTTGCTTTTGTTTATAAAGATGCAGCCTTGCTTCTGAAAAGCTTATAATAACTGTTTCTCATTGCAGAAGTAAACTGATTTCAGAAGTAAACATTTATTTTTATTTTATGTAGAATTGCTTTGGAATTTTTGGATTTAAGAGCTTTTTGTACAAACATCCCTCACTTAAAAGGAAAATCTGCTATGAAAAAACGACATTTGGAAATTTTGGGTTATCGTGTAATTCAGGTATGCAACACTCATGTAGATCAGCCTCTAAAAAACCTAGACACCCTTGCCTGTACATGTGTTTTCTTTTAATGTTAAAGTTTGAGAATAACCTCTTTTTAATATTTAAAAAAAGTTATATTAAAATATCTCTGAAACAAAACATCCATTTTGGGGGAAAGAATAGTAAATATAAATCATCTCATCTCTAGAAGATGTGTTGATTTGTACCTTTATCTTACAAGATGGATAGAGTTATAAGAGAAAACATCTAGTGGGTGAATGTAGGAAAGGTACATAGGAAGAAATGTCCATTGTAGGTATAGGCACAGGACAAAAGGAGCTGTGAGGTAAAAATAAGGTCTTCTGGGCTTTGTCAGGAAGAAAGACTCACTTGGCTTCTAAAAAGGGTTCAAAGACTATGCTGACATAAACTAATTTCATAGGGTTTCTACAGCTCTGCTCAGTAGTGCTTAGAAGTCTTCCTGATGTTTTTTTGTTGTTGCTTTAACACTTCCATCCAAACTACACTGCTTGTTTTATAGATCCCTCATTTTGAATGGAACTCGATGGCACTGTCGACAAAGGATGCTCGGATGGACTACCTGAGAGAACGTATATTTGGAGAAGGCAAATCATGATTGTAGTTTTTATTTAAAATTAATTATCATGGTGTGTCACCTATGAATTTGTTTTAATTAAGTGGCCCAACTGAGGTAAAAAATAATAGTATAGAATTGACTAATTTTAAGGTCAATCGAATCCTTATTAAAATAAGCAGACATTTTACAATGGAATACTTTCTGTACTATCTGGTTGGGAAATTATTTAAAATTCTTAGTATAAAAGACGTGTAGCTTTTAAGAAATTTAAATAGTTTACAATTCATCTTTGAGTATATACTATGTTCCAGGAACTATTTTAGATGCAGGGAATATAGCAGTGAATACAGTATATCTTCCACAGGTGAAGTCAAACAAAGTAAATGAATAAAATATACTTTAGATGATACTGAGTGTTATGGAGAAAAATTCAGAGGAGGGGATAGGAATATTGTGGGCGGGTGTAATTTTAAATAGGGTGATCTGAGACTTACTGAGGTTATCACTGAAGTACACTTTAAGGAGGTGGGGTTATCTGGGGGTAGAGAACTCCAGGCAGAAGGATGAGTAGCTGCCAAGATCCTGAGGTGGGAATATGCCTGGCATGTTTAAAAATAACAAGGAATCTACTGTGGTTAGAGCAGAACAAATACGAGGTGGGGTTGGAAGTATAATAGAAAAGGTAGATAACAGAAGCAGATATATACGATCAGATATATATGGCTATGCTGAGTAAAATGAGAGGCCATTGGAAAGTTTCTAGCAAAGAAATAAAGAACTCACATTGTTAACTGGATCACTTTGGCTACTCTGTTGAGGTGGAAAAAGACTGCAGTGGGGTAAGTATGTAAGTAGGGAAATCCATTAGAAGGTCATTGCACTAATCCAGACAAGAAATGGATGGTGGCTTGGAGAGAGTAATGGCAGTGGAGGTAATAAGTGGTCAGATTTTTTGATGTATTTTGAAAGCAGAGGCAACAGAATTTGCTCATTGATTGGATATGAGATATGAGAGAAAGAGGTTAAGGATAATTCTGTGTTTTTCTCCTGAGCAACTGAAATGATGTCATTGCTAGTGACTGAGATGGGGAAGTCCATGGAAAGAGGATGGCAGGCGGGAGTGGGAGTGAGTGATGATCATAAGTTTGGTTTTAGATATGTTGAGTTTGTGATGCCTTTTAAAATATCTAAGTGGAGATATCAAATAGGCACTTCAGTAAATGAGTTTGGAGGTCAGGAGAGAGATCTAGATATACACTTGGAAGTTGCTGGCAGTATTTGATGAACAAGGCTAGATGAAGACACAAAAATGTGATTAGACAAAAGTGAATGGAGAGTGCCAGGTGCTCCTACACGAAGAGGTCAGGAAGAAGAAGAGGGTCAAGAAGAAGCAAAGGAGACTGGGCAGGATTGCCAAGAGGTAGGAGGAAAAGTCAAAGGTAGTAATACTTCCTAGCAACCTAGTAGAACATTTCAAGGAAGAGGAATTGAGCAGTTATATCAGATGGTGCTGATAGGTCAGTAAGATGAGGACAGGGAAATGTCCATTAAATTTAGCAACATGAAAATCACTGGTTAACTGAAGAGTAGTTTTGGTGAAGTGGTGGGTCTGAAAGCCTGACTGATTCAAGTGAAAGTAAGAGGAGACAAGATTTTCTTATAAATGGAAGCAAAGAAACAGGGAGATAGCTGAGGGGGTAGTGGACCCATCTTGACCTTGTCTGATCTTACACATTTATTCAATAAAATAGTTGCTGAGGGCCCACTGTGTGATACACACACACACACACACACACACACACGCACGCACACGCACACACACACACACACACACACGTACATACATACATACAATCATACAATCCCTAGCCCTTCTTCTAAGAGGGATATATTTGTGCTCAGCTGGTGTTAGCTGGTGGGGCTGCAGGTAATTGGCCATCTGAAATTTGCTATCTTTGGACTCCATGACCCTCTAAATTCATTCTGTCCCAAAATAAGTTGGTAGCTACAGTGCCTTGAATTTTAAAAATAGCTTTAAAACGTGTGTCCTACATGTAATTTGCTCCATTGATATTTAGTTTAGGCTAAAAGTGTTTGTTTAAAATATCCAATTATTTTGCATGACTTGAGTTCTAATACTTAATGATTTTTTAAAATGTGAATTTAAAAGAGCCTTTTGTGAAAAATAATCAGAACAGTAAGCAAATGAAAGGTATTTTTCTTTTTGTAATTTTAAATTTAATTAATTAATTGATTAATTTATTTATTTTATGGTGACATTGGTTAACAAAATCCAATAAGAAAGGGTCTCTTCTTACCCAGTCTCCCTAATTCTGAATATCCTCATGACATTCATTTGTATTAGCTGGTATGCTAAATGCTAAGTGTTTATTTTGCATTTTTATGAATGTGTCCTATTTTCCAAGCTAGTGATTACCAGAACTAAACCCCTGAACAGATTAAAATATTTTACTATGCGGTTTTTAGAATAAAATGATTCGACTAATGAGGGTTATAAAATCTTTCCTTTGGATATAAATGAAAACCCAGATATTATATACTTGAGATACATAGACCTCTTCATTAAGTGACCCCAATGTGCCCTTCAGTTATTGTTACATGTAATCTCACTTCTCATGTACCACATCTTTTGCTCTCTCTTCTCTAAGCTGCCTGATTCAAATGGTTTTCTTTATATATATATGTGTGTGTGTATATATATATACACACACACACACACACACACACACACACACACTCAAGGCATTTTGAGTATGTGGGAAGAAAAATACCAAGAGATACATAGAAAACTAAGCAAATCTTTTTTAAAAAGGCATTATTAGCTCTAGGAAAAAATAAATTTGTAAGAAATATAATCATAGTATATTACTTGTGAACAACACCTATAT